GCATTCAAACGCCACTACGAATGTACAATGCGGGGAATGCGTGCCGCATCCAAAAAAGGGTTCGATCAACGACAAATGTTGTCATTAGTATCAATTAATGGAAATGTTGTGATCCTCCACCTGCTGCAAACCGTTCCATGAGTTCACTACTGCCAATAAGATGAGGTTTCGGAGATATGAAGTGATTGAGAGAAAAACCACTAACGGATCTGGGAACCAAATAAGTGATGAGGAGTCGACGTGGAGTCGCGACTGGGATAACAGCTTTCTCACATAGAGTTTTCAAATCGTCGGCCGCAGGCTGTAGATTTTCCCAAAGTGACCAAATTGGTTGTTTAAATTGGTTCTGGGCATAACATGGAAACTGCACACGCACGTTTCTTGGCTGCCAAACGATAACGACCAAAGTGCTTAACCAAGTTCCTTTACATTTTTGCTTGGCAAAGATCGGCATGTCATGAAATGTTCGGAAGTGAGGGACAGTAAGAGGAAAGCAGTGCGACGTCTTGAGGAGTAGAGGGCTCACACGACTCCGAAATTGGAAGCGGTACGATAGAAGCATACAGAAGAAAAAACAGAGAAATTTTGAAAGCCGCACCATGTCAGGGATGCCCTCTTCGAGTGCTTCAAATTTCAATTTTTCCGTAAGCAACGCGTTGGGTAGTCAGCAAGGGAATGATTGCGGTACTGACAAGGGAAAGGTTATACAGTTTGCCTAAATGCGTAGGGATTCAAGTAGGAACCTCATTGGAAGAATCAGATTAGTGAGGTTTGAGCTCCGAAACCCTATACAATTAGGAATAATGATGGACAGGTGTTTCACAAGAATGCTGGGTTGTGAACAAAACTGTCGCCCCAGGCGGGACTAGAACCTGAACCACGAGCTTTTGGGCAACAAACAAAAACGAATGATAGATAGAGTTCATTTGACAGGACTTTAAGGAGACCAACGATTGAAGTTCGTAGTACTTTGCTGTAGAGCAATTTCCTTGCAATTTAAAGGAAGCACGTGTAATGCGCCACCTTGACCACCCGAATATTGTCCGCATGTATGGCGTTGCACCACAGGAGGAACCGGTGATGATAGTTCTGGAATTGGCAGCTGGTGGCAGTCTAAAGGTACAGTTGTTTTGCACTTCCATGAAAGAATCGAATGAAAATCAGTTGCTCAGGCGTATTATAAGAACAACAATAATGTGTGCAATAATCAGAAACTGAAGTTTGCTAGAGATGCGTGTCGAGGAATGTGTTACCTTTCATTAGAAAAGGCTAGTTCTCTTTAGTCGACCATATTTGACCATTACTTGTTAGTCGAATGAATGTCCCTTCAATGTTTCACTTACTATAATTTCAGGTCATTCATAGGGATCTGGCAGCTAGAAATTGTTTACTCGGTTCAAAAAATGAGCTGAAGATTTCCGATTTTGGTCTTTCTGTGATGAATAAGAGAGAACTGCGGTTGCATAAGCTTCACAAAGTCCCAATAAAATGGCTATCACCGGAAACTATTAACGAGGTAGGACACATGCACAAACAGCTTTCCTCATGACAACAAAAACGAAATTCAAGGATTCGCTCATCTTGTGGAAAGGACAGTTTTTTTGGCATGTTTGTCCCATCGTCTCCTCTGTTGCATTGATTGATTAGCATTAGCGTAATTCTGGTAGTCCCTCTCTCGAACTCACTAACTCATGTTACTATGAGTACAGATAAAAAGCAAGTAGGAAAGAGCTCGCGCAGGTGCCATGTTTTTTTTGTGTTTGCCACAATTACTAATCACACGAAGAACGGTAGATCGATTTATCCTAATTTGCTTAACACATTCATGCCGGCGGCAGCTCATGTGGCCTGCCAATGAATTGTGCTCGTGGGGCGATGGCAGCCCATATGGGCTGCATAATCGCTTGCCAGGCGCTTTTGAATGGAAAGATAGGTAGGTAAACCTCGTAATGATGTTTAAAATGCTGTCAAATTCCTTTACGGGAGAACTGAATGAATGCTCTCTTTTCGTTACGACAAGTCGTCCTTTCGATGGAAATTCTACTGTATGATTATGATTAGATAATCTTTGCTGCGCATTTAACATTGCCGAATTATCTTGTGAGATTCACATTTTTGTTCATTTACAGTATAAAATTCGTGGATGTGAGGTGAGGCGGCGGTGCCGCTGAACCTCATGTCTGGCTTCAGCTTTCGCACTTGAAAATTACAATTACTTTCGAACAAACAATTACCGTGCTGCGAGACTAGTGCACAATAAATGAAACCCAATTCCTGGGGGGACTGAGCTAACAGAAGTGGACCAAACACGGCCGCGGTAACGGAAACCTGAAGCAAGTTCCAAAGCAGAAATCCTTGCCTAGAGATGTAACTCCGAAACTTTATGTAGCTCTTCTTTTGCGTGGTTCTTTTTGTTGCGATACAATTACAACGCTGGAGTATTTTTTCTCTCAGTACCATATGTCTCTGCTTATATTGAAGAGCGTAGCATTCCAGTTTTTGGATTTACAGCCGGCACTGGAAAAATTGATAGACGGGTTTAGTAAAAGCGAGATTTCACGGCACCATTGACTCGACATTTTTTGAAAAGGCTTAGATTACTGTTGTAGCTTAAGCATTCATCGGTTTCTAAGAAGTTTCCGTTGTTTCCATATAGCAAGCAGTTCCTCCTTCTCTAAGGGGAACTCCCACTGAGGAGGAGGAACTGCTTGTATATGGAAACAACGGAAACTTCTAAGACTTAGCCACTGAATAGTTTTTTAACCCATCGGCGTCGTACATCTGGAAAACTTGCCGAGCCGACGCACCGTATTCTATTCAACGCAAAGACAAAGAATTAGAAAAAGAGTACTGGGGGCAGGTCTAAAAACCGTGTAAATTCCCTGAAAAAAAGCAAAAAAAAAATCCCAGGCCAAGCTTGTTGTCTATTTGCGAAGAGTTTTTTGCAACACCGATGCTGAAGCATCGGCTGCCTGCCAGTGTGCATTAAATTTCTACGATCATTGAAGTGTAGATCATGGATGTGTGGGAAATACATCCTACTAATAAAAATACGGAGGAGATAACTTCGTATAATGTATGCTATACGAAGTTGTTTAGGAACTCCTTTTGCCCTTAGCCTTGGGGGGTCAGTGCAATGCGAGGTCCGGACAAAATGTATCAAACGGCATTACCCGTGAAACGCTGGGTTTTCTGTCCACGATTTCTCTGGTGGTTCATCCCTCTTTACTTATCATCCCTACTTTACTTACCGAGCGCTCCTACTTTAAGAAACATGATCTTTGGTCGTGGACTAGATGCTGACAGACTACCAATAAACTTGAACCTAGCAGGGTCTAGCTGTCACTGAATGCAACCTCCATAAAACTGTTGCAACGACTATCATCTCCTGTAAATTCTCATTTCCTCCAAAAATTGATATTTTTCAAAATAAGCCTTTCTATCGAATCCTTCGTTTGAAAAGCTCCATGATCCATGTCATAAAAAGATTATTTTTGTAAGGGTGTCTTCTCTACCAAGACTGACGTGTGGAGTTTCGGTGTTTTGGTGTGGGAGATATTCGACCATTGTAGAAGAGATCCGTTTCCCGGAGAAACCAACGCACAAGCAGCAATTCTGATCACCGGAAAAACACCGCCAATGGAGCCACCAGCAGGATCTCCTCCAATTGTGAAACAAGTCATGGATTTATGCTTCGTGAGGGTGAGGACTCTTCTTCAGCATACTGTGTACAAAATCCCAGAAGAAAATTTTCTTGAGTCATTTCATGCCAATGATTTTACATAAATCTCTTGTAATTCAGGCACCCGACCTAAGATCAGACTTTGCGAACCTGCTACACGTCCTTGCACCAAATGAAGCCTCTACCTACACCGTCCGCTAAAAGCAGTCTCGTCGATACAGCATTGCATGCCGAGTAGTAAACCGCACTTGAACTCGTTCATATTTTGTCATGTGATTGTATAATCTTTGTCATCAGATAATTATTCCGTGATTATGTACTTCGCACTTATTAACATGTATTCTTCCTAAAAATCTTCAAGAAAACTTGCTTTAAAGATACGATTCTTTCCTTGTGCTGTATAAACATCCACAAGAATTGTTGATGTTGAAGCGTTCCAAGTCAAGGGTGACGATGCAGAGAATCGCTTTAATAAAAGGTTTAATTTACCGTCTTTACTCTTTTTTTGCCGTATACTGTATTTTTGAATGACGAAAGTCTTACCTAAACATACCCACATTGCAGAGATAGTATCATTAACGGCTTGGATTACAAAGAATAAGAAAGTGCCAGTGGTAGATTACAGGAGATGAAGGTGAACTACAAACTCTCCCTTGATAGCCAGTGCTCCCACGATTTCTATCAAACAGAATCGCGAATGTTTTCATACTTGTGGAGATAATGGCCAAACTCTCCTAAACCTCATACATTGTTCTTTCCAAAGTGCTGTGCATTAACTAATGCTCCTTCATTTTTGAATGATTGTCTGAGTTTTGGAGATAGGCGATCAGGTAGTCTGCAGGGTAGTGTTACTAGGAAATGGTTATCATGAGAACTTTATTATATCTAATATAGTTAAGTGTATTTATAAAAATAAGTTTATATGCTATAAATTCTCAATGGCTAATAATTATAAAAATGTTAATAAACTAGTTAAAGGAATACTCAATCAATAGCTTATGCTTAATTCAGTGGACAGCTACAAACATTTCCACCTTTTTATTTCATCAAAGACAAGGTTGGTCTCCCCGCCAACCGCCGGGACCTTCTTTCACAGCGTACGCTTTACGGCCTAAAATCACCTTACGAAAGCTAATTGCATCCTAGGCCTGTTGGGGGTGGTTTCCCGCCTACCCTCCTCGAACACTTCACCCCCTCTCCTCTCCTTCCACTCACCTTCAGCTGCCACCGCAGCACCATGTGAAATAACTGGAAGTGACCTCAGTAGGTGTTTATGTAGCCGTTGGGGTGTTATCACAATCATGCCATTGCAAAACACTAATAGCTAAAGTCCTGTGAGCTACATGATTCTGTTAGCGGTTTGTTTATCCCATGAGCTTCCTTCTCACTCACTTCATTTTGCGGACGGACACACATACATACATACATACATACATACATACATACATACATACATACATACATACATACATACATACATACATACATACATACATACATACATACATACATACATACATACATACATACATACATACATACATACATACATACATACATACATACATACATACATACATACATACATACATACATACATACATACATACATACATACATACATACATACATACATACATACATACATACATACATACATACATACATACATACATACATACATACATACATACATACATACATACATACATACATACATACATACATACATACATACATACATACATACATACATACATACATACATACATACATACATACATACATACATACATACATACATACATACATATACATACATACATACATACATACATACACACACACACACATACAGACATACAAACCGACACACAAAGTTAGCGCTTTATAAAATAGAAGGATTTTGCATATTGTTATCAATTATCTTCACTTTGGGCGGAAGTGGTGTAGTGGCAAGTGGCACGCTTACCACGCGAGCGGTCCGGGGATCAAATCCTGGGTCGTGAGTCGCCCGGGCCAACCAAGCCTTCCATCCCTCCGGGGTCGGTTAATTGGTACCAGACTTGTCTGGGAGGATAAAAACACTGACTTGTACATCGGCTGGCCCCCGCAAGTCATTGTATAGGCCACATCGCATTCAAAAGCCATTGCGAATACAGGGGGGGGGCCAAAAAAAAAGACATTTTGCCTCCACTTCCAGATGGATTTAAGCACATTTTACTCAACTCAGACCGAACGGTTCCAACTTATTATTAAAGAGTGCATTCCATTCTATAAGAAAATCTTCATAGTGGCCACGTACGTGGACGGCATCAGAAGAATTAGCCCTGGAAACATGGTGCACTGGTCGATCTCAATGGGGTCTTCGAAGGATCGTGTACCATAACGACCCTTACTGGAAAGCTAGTTCCGAGGGGATTTGCACAGTGGTAGCTAATGCCTCTAGAAAACTATCCAACATTAAATCGATTCACGAAATTGCGTAAGAGCTTCAGGCTGAAGCTCTTACGGTAGACCTCCTTGAGCCTGACGACGGTGACAGATGACGTCATATTCTGAAGACGGTGAGGGCAGTGAAGGAGAGCCTGCGTACACTAATAGAGGAACACTTAGGGAATACTCTGCTGAGGAACTCCCGTCAACGACAGCAATCTCTGCGAAGAAAAAAGAGCCGAAGTCCGACATAGGCAAAATGTCTTTTTTTTTTGGCCCCCCCCTGTATAATGGAAGGAGAATGGCGTTGCCGCATCCCAAAAAGGGATTGATCCAAGGCAAATATGCTTTACCCTTTATGCTTTATCTTTACTTTTCTTAATCAATATACAATTAATTTCATTGTATGCTTCTCTGCATAACAAGTTTATTCGTCTGTGTCTTTATTTCGCCAATCCCAACTAATTGATGAGCTCCGGGTATTTTTATAATGGTTTTCTCTTTCTTAATTGACGCTTCTGGCAATTCATATACAACAACAAAACTACTGCTAGTGGAGTTTTGCCAAAAGTTCTATGACAGATCACCGATCTTATAATTATCAGTGTGATATAATTTCCTCGGCATCACACTTCTTTCATATTCTTAGCTGTCTGCGGAGGACTACGTCCGACGTGAGCTCCTAAAAGTAGAATTCTCAGATTAGCGTTCATTCGTTTATTCAATTCAGACCTAAAAACGAATTCTAACAATTTATGGTCAAATTCAATACGAGGGAAAGGAAGAAGGAAGCACATAGATAGATACGCCATCGTTGTGTAGCAATACACCACTGGAAAAAAAGTTCGTTCAAAATTAGCTGGGCATGTCAAAAATGCAATCCTTCCGAGTAGTCTGATAGGTGGTAAGCATAACCCATGCCTCGCTAACTGCTCCAATCTAGCGAAAGATCCTACTATATATAATTCGCTAAGTATGTCTGTGTGTGTGTGCGTCTGTTTGTCACGAAATTCATAGCGCGCTTCGCTGCAACATGGAGCGCTGTATTTTGAGTATGATGTAGGGGTGGGACGGGAACATATTTGGTGGGGGTCAAAGTGATAACGACTGATAAGAGCTGATAAGAGGCGCTGAAACGCAAATTTCACGAAATTCATAGCGCGCGTCCCAGCAGCAGTGGGGCGTTGGTTCCAAGAAGTGATGTAGGGGTGGGACGGGAACATGTTTGGTGGGGGACAGAAAGTGATAACGACTGATAAGATCTGATAAGAGGCGCTAGAACGCAAATTTCACGAAATTCATAGCGCGCGTCCCAGCAGCAGTGGGGCGTTGGTTCCAAGAAGTGATGTAGAGGGTGGGACGGGAACATGTTGGTGGGGACGGAAAGTGATAACGGCTGATAAGAGCTGATAAGAGGCGCTAGAACGCAAATTTCACGAAATTCACAGTGGGCGTCCCAGCAGCAGTGAGGCGTTGGTTTCGACAAGTGAGATAACGGCTGATAAGGACTGATAACAATGATGCGTATGAACATAGAGGTCACTCGAAACCAGATTCGAGATAACGCTTTTTCATTTCAATAACATTTCTTTGCGTTGTTATCCTTAACCCAAAATACCATTCGGCCGCTCCACTCCCTAGAGTTCCTAAAAATGTACGGTGTAATGTTTGGATAAACCAACATGACTATAGGGATATAAGACTCGTCCATTCTTCAAAAATTCATTTACCGTCCCAATCTAGTTTATTCCGGAAGACCCCGCAATTATTCCGCCACTTTGACAGATCCACCGAAATAAAATCTGCCAAAGGTTTACGAGGCACCCATGAGGCGTCTCATTAGTACGCCCATGGCGAAAAGAAGAATCCTTCGCAAATAAGCAAAAATGGTACCCCTTTGATGCCGCCTATTCAAGTCTGTCTGCGCAACCCAATGCGGCAGGTCGACGGTAAAGAACAGACGTTGCTTCCGCGGACGACTGTTACACCCCGGAGAGCTAAGCAGCTCGCCCTCGCATGCTACCTAGTACCTACGTGTACCTCCCTTGCTAAGGCAATCCGCATGGGCGCACACTTGGAACGATAACAGCCACTCAAGAAAAACTAGAACTGATCGTACCACAAGATGAAAGGCCACACCGAGCAAACGTCATGCACAGGTCCATCAACCAAAACCTAGTCGCGTCATCGTCACTTTGGGCGAGCGTCACACCGCTGCTCCAGCAACCCCACCACCTTCGGCCCTGCAAGGACCACACATCGCATATTCCTTGGCCGGCAATAAATTGCTTTTCTCGCGGTGATCGCGCAGGTTCATTCCACCTTCCTCAACGATCAAACCCCCGCTAGTCATCGCGAAATGCGAAGATCCCTTATCGCACATGCTTTTGCCCTTTAATGGATGGTGGTTGTTTATAGAGTTAACTAACTGACCAATTCAACTCCATATCCGCGCGTATCAAGCGGAGAGACAGCTAACGCATTTCACTGAAAACTTACTTACCGTAAACCTAAATGTTCCACAGACTTTTTCGCCCAAGCCTTCGGTGTGATGCGCGCGGTAGCGTGCGGAGCTAAACTGGTATCACATAATCGAAGATCCTATTTCATTTACTCTTTTCACCGGAGTTTTTACATCCTTCCACACAGGGACGGCACTAAAGGGCTATAAACTCACATTCGAAGCTGGTGGCAGAGGCAGGTAATCCAAGAATAAGGCTTGGAAATACGCGAATGCGCTTGGAAATAAGGTATCTAGTGCCACGACAATTCAATGCCTGAAATTATGTATTGATGACCAATGTATCGGAGCGCAATCAGCTCAAATTGTTTCTACTGAATCTTGGCGCATGCTGTTCAAGAGTCATGGCCCAGGGATTGAACTGGGTGAAGGTATTCTGAGCATAGGATAACGGCTCGCTCTCTTCAATAGCGCTGTTTTGCGCGAAGAGAAGAGTATGACGCGAGAGAGCGCATCAGGTGAGAGAGCACCAGACGACAGCGTAGTAAGAGACGAACGTTTGCAGCTGTTGCAGCTTTCTTTGCAAAGCCCTAGCGCCTTGTCGGGTGATTTTCATTAACGTGAGTGCCATCCTTAGCTTGTCCTCCTAAGACCGTAGTATATCCTGTTAGACGGAGGAAAATCGTTCACACAACTTCTGCTACGGTTGGCCTTTAATGGAACTATTAAGGCAAAAAAGAGGCCAAAAGCTGGACGTGTAGATCGAGAAGAATATTCTGTGTAGTACCAAGACTAGGTAAGCCTTCTAAAGGAACAAAGAAAGAATAGATGCGGTACTAGTGTGCTAGTTTCATGACTAGTTCATCGTTTTTTGCTCCATTTGTTTGGGCCCATCGTTAATGATTTTTCTTTGGGTTTTTTTTTGCTTGTTGAACGACTTTTATGGCAAAGAGTTAGGTAGCCGAACTTTTTTTCTTCGATGCGAATCTATTGAAGAAAGTGGTGATGACTGGTTTGCTCAGAATGAGGTCAACACATTCTGCTCACACCGTATTGACTGGAATACGAGACCACTCTGCTACCCCTGCTCTCTGGCATTTACAATACCTAAATTTTCATTCTTTTGTTAGGAAGTTGAGTTCTTTGTAATGTAAACCTTTCGCAAGCAATGGTAAGAGCAGTCAAGCTATGTATAAGTTTATGCCATGTTTGTGGTTCGACAACAGTGTCAGTATTTATTGATGGCTTTAACAGAGTCAGAGAACATAATCATTGGTATTAAATATCGCAATTTCCATTGTCAATTCATCTTGTGCATTTGGCAATCTCACGTGATGCCCCGTTAATCTTTCAACCTGAAAAAGCTGCAACACTTGCTCACAATTAAATGAAGTAAGTGAATTTACTAACACAATATCACTCAGCCAGATTTTCGTTGACCGATCGAGCCAGAGCAGCCATCAAACGCGCTTTTGATCGGAATCCTAGAATTAAAAAAAGACCATCTTGCTGTTATGTTGTTCATGAGTACTTCGGATCACTGAATGGTGGTAACAGTTAGCATGTAGAAGATCCTGAGTTGGTAAAGCGCACTACCTTTTGAAGGCATGTTTCGGGATCAGGCACGCTCACCTGTTCCACCTGCAGGGGTAGTAGACGGGCTGTACCCATAGTCGGCACAGACCGAAAAATCATTTGGAGAGGCTGGGTCAAGTTGATACGGAATGGGTATGGGCTAGGATGTGGGGAGAAGCATGGGCAATGGCGATGCCAATGACAAAAATTCGTATTTGATTAAAGAACGACCCCGTGGCTCGGAAAAAATTGCAATTGAGTTAAGAAGAGCCAGCCGCGGTTGGAAGTAGATCCTGCATATGGGCGGTTTTCCGGAGAAAATGTGTAACTCTATAATAATATGGCATAGAAAGCAAAAAAGAGTGAAGATAAAGAATGCAGTAGGCTGCACAAAGCACCCTCGTAGTGAATCGCTTTTGGGGGCGGAGTGCCTTCGAAGTCCTGCTCAGCAACCAGCGCACCTTTCGTCGTAAAAGCGTCACACCTCACTCCCTTTGCCGCCAATTAATTGCTTAATGTGAAGCACATGCGATGCACTCTCTCTTATCGTAATCGCTTCTTTGAACATGCTCCCGTGCTTATGACCTCGCTCTCGTTCCCTGGGCCAATGAGCCTTATCTTTTCAACGCTCCAAAGGGACGGTTGTCCACTCTCAGTGCGTTCAGTGATTAAGGTCACTAATAACTTTATAGCATTTCAAGCTCAAACCGCAAGAAGAAAGCCTCAGTACCCCGCACGCTGGGCTCTGCCGCCTCCGACGTTGGGCGGTACGACGACCGGCGAGAGGCTGCACAATCTCGGGTTGCGTAGAACGTCATGGACTCTGGACGAAGACGACACGAGAACACGACATGGAGATTGCCTCAGAATTTGCACTTACAACGCGAGAACTGTCTCCAGTGATGCCGACCTTCGTTGCCTGCTTGATGCCGCGAGTCGAATCAAGTACAACGTAATCGCGCTCCAGGAAACGAAGTGTAAGAAGACCGATATACGACATTTCTTCGATGGAACTCTTGTCATTCGTGGTGAGAAGTTTCCATCGCGAAACATCGGTGGCGTCGGGTTCGTCGTTCACCCATCTGTCGTCCAACACGTTGACTCCTACGAAATCCTCTCTCCTCGCCTTGCCATCCTCCGTCTTCAGCCGCGGCGTCAAAAGTCCATCTGTATCATCAGCTGCTATTCACCACACATGGGCGCTGATGATTCCGAATTAGACGCATTCTACGATCAGCTGGAGGAAGTCATCCGCACCGAGAAGTCCTTCTATAAATTCATTGTCGGAGACTTCAATGCGAGGATCGGTAAGGTGGAAGAAAAAGAAGACAGGATTGGCCAGTTTGGGATTGGCGAAAGGAACGAAAACGGAAATCGGCTTGCTGGGCTCATGTCCGCGACTCGTCTCTTCCACGGTAACTCTTTGTTCGAGAAGAAGGAACATCGCCGCTGGACATGGGAATCACCCAACGGCACGACACGTGCCGAGATCGATCACATTATTACGAACAGGAGACGGTGCCTTTGTGATGTCGCTGTAGTGCCATCTTTCTGTACCGGATCTGATCATCGGCTTCTTCGGGCGAAAATTCGTCTATCTACCAGGCTTGAAAAACGAGCCTTGCACCGCCCGAAGACAAGAAGATCGGTCGTGTACGATGAGAACATCTTGAACGAGTGCCTTTCCCAACACTTGTGGCGGATCGATGAGGACCCAACGAAGGATTACGAATTGCTACTCGAGGGACTTCAAGCCTGTGCTGATGCGGCTTCTCTTACTCAGCGAAGGAGCTCCGAACGCATCTCGACGTCAACGAGAGAACTCTTGAGTAAGCGAAGGAGCCTGCGACTTGATCCGAATGCAACCCACCTCGAGCGACTGATTGCTGACACCAGTTGCAGAATAGCGCTGCAGGAGGACATACGACAGTTCAGGCAAAGAAAAATCCTCGAAGCTGCACAAGGAAGATCAAGTATAAAGAAGTGAAGCCGTAATAACTT